ATCCATCCATCCATCCATCCATCCATCCATCCATCCATCCATCCATCCATCCATCCATCCATCCATCTCACTGTTCAGAACTGTGTGTGAGGATTATGCAAAAAGAACTGCATGCATCAGGGAAGGTATTCAGGAGCAGTGGAGGATTGGTTTGGGGGATAGTGCGTGGAAGGTAGATTAGGATAGTATGCAAGAGTACCATGTGGGTCAGGGAAGGCATACTAGCGGAGGGGAGCTTGGGCTGAGGAAAATGCATGGTAGCATGCAAGAGATGCCACATGCATCAGGAAAGGAAATGGCACAATCTAGGAGTGTGCAGGAGATGTCATGCACCTGGAAATATATTCTAGCCTCCCCTCCCCTCCTCTCCCCTCCCCTTTTCTTTCTTTTCCCAGCAGATAGTTAAGTGGTTGATGCTGGGTGGAGAGGGAGCATTAAAACAGCCATAATTTCCCCAAATTTCATTCCTCTGGGAATCATGGGACCTGGGAGTCTTAAAAAAAAACATTTAGTACTTATTTATCAAATTTATCTCAAATATACCAAATCACAGGATCAAACAGAATTGTGCATGTTCTACATTTGCCTTGGTGTGTTAAAAGAAAATGCATTTCATAGCATCTACAAACTTTGGAAAGGACAAAGGTTTGACTAAGTTGAGATCTGTTCACCGGACAGAAGAATGACAACGCAACAGAACATCATCGTTTTTTGGTATTTTTGTTATCTTTCAATATTTTACAAATATTATTGCCTTGACATTCCGTAAGTTAAGCTTTAACAGATACAGGACATGACTTGAATTCTGGTGTTGCTGTTCAGCCTACCAGAAGAAAAACTGCTTAGCTGTAAGAAGACTCTAGAGCAGTGTTACTCAAGCTTGGCAAATTTAAGCTCTGTGAACTTCAACTCCCAGCTTGCTGGGCATCACTTACCTTAAAGTTGCCAAGGTTGAGAAATATTGCTCTAGAGTCCCCAGAGGGTGAAGGCAAAGGAAATCATGTTATGCTATTTGCTAAAGCAACTTGTTCTTGACCTTTAAATTGGAACATATTTCCTCAAATCTGAATCAATAATAATAGTAAATATCATTCAAAACATAAGAAACCATTCATCAAAAATAGAAATACCTTGGTGTAAATAAATTACACCAGTGGTGGGATTTTTTTTTTGAGATTTGAGATTTTATTAATATTTGTAGGCCGCCCTTTTCCCTGAGGGGACTCAGGGCGGCTTACAATAAAATGGGGAAAGGGAGGTACAGACATTAAGATAAGACATATAATAAAATAATAAACAACAT